GAGTCCCCATCCCTGAAGGTATTTAAAAGACGTGTAGATGTGGTGCTTAGGGACATGGTTTAGTGGTGGACTTGGCAGTGCTAAGTTAACGGTTGGACTTGATGATCTTAAAGGTCTTTTCCAACCTAAACAATTCTCTGATTCAAGCTGAGAAACATAGATGAAAAGGAAAACTGACCATCTTTCTATATCCTTCCTTGTAACTATGCAATCAGCAGCGTAAGTTGTGACAGGGGAGATGTGGTCAAGATTTCAGGATTTGGGTCTGGCATACCGGATTGTGACCCACGTGAATGGAGTGACAGAGAAAAGGCTCTTCAAAGGCAAACAGCATTCAGATGGAGGCAACAAAGAGAGGAATTCATAACAGAAAGGAAGACGAGCTGTTTTGGTGGGATAGATTTGCAAATACGCCTCTCACCTACAAAATGCAGCAGCTGAAAGGCTGTTAACCAGGCTTCGGGAATGGCTGCAGCCTGAATAAATGTCATATCATTGGGAATTGGCATCAGGTAGCCTTCGGGTACTGTTACGTATTCTGCCTGGCCACCTCCGGAGAGCAGAGCCATCACTGCATCGCCAATCTTCCACCGGCCCTTGCAGCCAGGTCCGAGCCCAGCCACACTCCCAGCTGCTTCTAAGCCTAAAATATCACTTGCTCCTTTAGGGGGAGGGTACTTCCCTCTCCTCTAAAACAAAAGAAAAGAGACAGCAAGGGAAGCAAAAGCCACACATCAATGAGTGTAATGACCTGCAATATTTTGTTCACATGCCTTCAACCTGAATTCCTATTTATTTGATCCTGATTTTGCACTGTGCAAATGTTCCAGTAATTTGAGGATCTTCTATCCTCTGGCAACATTTCTTGTTTCCTAAGTATGTTTTATTCTTAAAACTCTGTGTGCAAATTCAATTTATTGCGAGTCCCCATTGTCCAGGCCAATCCATGCTGGGGAGGTATTACAGTCTCCTGTTGCAGAGCGTGGCTTTCAGCTCAAAACAGCTCAGACTTAACAATTTGAATGTGATTTTCCCATGCTGGAATTGAGCCAGTGGAACGTTTCATGTTCACCTCAAATGCCCAGAGAATGGTCTAAGCATCTGGAAAGACCAGAGCTTTGGTTTTACATCTTTTCTTGAAAGGCAGCTGCCTTTCCATGCTGCCCCAGATAAAAACATTTATCTGCTGAATCAACAGACATCTCTTCTTTCAGCCCTATGAACTCTCCCATCCAAATGCTCACCAGGTCCAATCTCTTTTAACTCTTCAGATTTGTCAAGACTTCAGACAGGGTCTTGAAAAATTGGTGTCGTTTTCAGGTGCATAAATCTGCTTAACATACACATACCTGGAGTAAATCAGCCCTATTCAGAGCACTGGCAGCGACCTTCACAAGAACTTCTCCTTCTCCTGGATGTGGTTTCATCACTTTTTTCACATAGAGATTTTCTGGGCCTCCTGGGCAATCAAAATAGGCTGCCAACATTTTCTCTGAAAAAAATCAAACCAAAACCAAAAAAGCTGGCATGAATGCAGGCACACTTATGTGCAGCTGGAAAATCTCGGTAATCAGTAACTACAGCACCACCGACTCCACTCTGCAGACGGACAATGCAAACGGTGACACGTTCGAAGGCCGAAGAGGGGAGGGCTGCCAGAGAAAGCTGAGGAGTTACAATGCAATGAAATACATTAACACTGGGACACAACATACTGTTGCAAAAGCCATTTGACAAACCATGAAGATTGCCTTGCACCAGGCCTTAAACCCTGCACAGAGCCATGCATGGATCCAGCAGCACTGACCTCCCACCCACCTTAATCGTAAAAAGTAGCACGCAAATGAAAATAAAATGCTTTGCTCTCGACTTTCTGCATGATTAGGGCTCCAGTGCTCAACTGACTAAAGGACACAGGCCCTTAAAATAGTGGACACAAATGGGATTTTAAAACTCTCAGCAGAAAGAGCCTTTACTTGACACACCTAAAATCTCGGTAATCATGCCTCATGGAAAGGCATTGAGGTAGAAACTGGTAGGGGAGGATGATGAAGAGAGGAGAGGGGAGGGGAGGGGAGGGGAGGGGAGGGGAGGGGGGGGGGGGGGGGGGGAGGGGAGGGGGGGAGTGGACAAAACCCCCCCATGCCTTCAACTGAGGAGAGGAGAGGAGAGGAGAGGAGAGGAGAGGAGAGGAGAGGAGAGGAGAGAGGAGAGGAGAGGAGAGGAGCATGTAAGTGCTGCCTTATGATTCAGCCCGTAGATGGCAACCTGAAGATACAGAAGGGCATGACGGTGAGTTAGTGTGAATGAAAGATAACAAATGGTTTTAAAAATTCCTATGTATTTCCCTTGCCTCAGCAGGTGATTCCTGTGTGCCTGATGCACTCTGGTAGAGGGTCCCACTGCTGCAGGAGTCTTTCAAGTAACTCTTCAGTCACTGTTCCTGGGTTCCTCAGTTTTGGCACCAGCAGTTGTTGAGATGGGCTGTGATGTCAAGCCTCCTCCCGCCTGGCAAAATCAAATCTGGAGCAGTCTTCCCTCTGCCCCCTGGGTGCTGGGTGGAAGGAAATGAGAAGAGGAGAGAATCATGACAGCAATGACTGTGTTACTTCCCGAGAGCTGGTGCTATACTGAACACAGTATAGGGCTGCCGCCCAAAGACCTGTGCAGGGTGGGCTGCAAGCCAGAGACTCTTCAAGTAAACACCATTGTGTGACGGACCACCGTGCCCTCTGTAAAAATCATTTGCATTATGTTATCTGCACAGGAAAAGCTAAGTACATACTTTATTATCTGTTTTAAGACTGCAAATGTGGAACGATAAACACCTTGAAACCCCAGGAATGTAAATCCCCACAGGGTGGTGCTCTGTGGCTATTTTACAGTGATTAAACACTTCCAATTATTCGTATAAAACGTAACTTAAAGGCTTTTCTTTCTGAGGCTGGCTGGCTATTTGTTGTTTTCAGCTGAACCATTTAATGCAGTCCTACAAAATTTGTCTGTATTAGCAGAAAAATTTAATGGGAAGCCCACCAGGTACCACCCTGTAACAGAAGCTTCTGCTCTCTTTATTGTGTCCAAACTTAGTCAATTAAAAATAAGATGTGAAAGAAGCTTTTGTCCCTCTTCCAACACAGTTCACTAACCTGCATTTTTATAACTGCTTGTCTTTGTTGCTAGAAGCAAACCCACAAAAATATTTAAACAAATACTGTGAGGATCCGAATATCTACATTGCTTTCAAATGCACAGAAAACCGCAGGAATTGAAAACAAAGTTTCCAACAAAGTGCAACAACTTCAAGCTGTCAGATCTGCCAGCAGTGGCCCAAACCAACAATTTGAAGAAGTTGTGTGATTCCCGAGCACAATTTGTGACTCACCTTTTTCCTGTAAAGAAGGGAGGAAGTTCTCCACACCAGGAATGAACCCAGCCTGTCCTCGGGAACAGAGTCTGATCCCAGTTCCTCCTCTCCCAGCTCTGCCCTTGCTATCAGCCATTCCCCAGCAAGTCAAGGGGTGGAACAGGACGAGGTTGTGTTTTATTTTGGAGGGAACGACAGGAGCAGAGTCAGAAATACTAGTACATCTCACCATTATTTCTACCCATGGACCTGGTTTATTCCACGGATTGAGGCAGAAATCTACTTTTGCCTTTGGCATTGAGGTAGAGATCCGCCGCTCCCCCCCAGCACACAGGGAGGTTTGGTCTAATGCCTTTGCTGTGCCAATCCGCTGGACGTGTGCATATTTGTATGTTCTCAGGCAGAGCACTGCACTGCTGCTTTCATTTCTGAACTCGAGTAGTGCAGACCAGATTTACTTGTGCAGTTGCATTAAGGGCACATGAGCTGTGACAGTCCTTACGCTATGTATCCACCTGAGGAGGCTTTGTTGCGCTCTTGTTCCCGTAAGGCGTCAGTGTTCAAAGTCTACTGGTTCACGTCCGTCAGCCCGGTGCATTTCTACCTGATGTTTTAGCTGCCTGATCGCACCTCTCCGTTGAGCTTTGCTGTTTCCCCAGAGGGAGAAGGATCAAATCATGCCGTTCTCCATGTCCTAGCTGCCGGCTCTTAGGCATTTAGGAGTAGTCAGGGAACAAAACTGACACTTCAGAGTATTAAAAAATGATAAACCATGTGTCTGTCCATGTGTGGGGTTCTTCCGTGGATTTTTTTCCTATCAATTTTTGGATTCAGGCTTTTAAACTCTTCTTTGAAACTAAACTAATTTAGAATCAAATATAGCTAAAAAATCTTTTTTTCTCATGTGATTCAAAGAGCTAATAATTTATTTGTTTCTGCAGATGAAAAGATCATGGAGTCTGGTCTTCTTGAGACTGCTCTTCACCTGGTGATGTAGGCAGAGCCTCAGCTGTCCCCTGTACAGTAATGAGTTCACTCAAATGTGGATTCTTTGGTGTCTTACAGTACACGCAGTCTGATTCAAGCTTGGAAGTGACATTGTCCCTCCTCTCCAGTCCTCACAGAACTTTGCAACCCATTACAATTTAAAATAACTTTCTATAGTGGTCAATTACAATGCAAATTGACATGTTAAAAATGTGTTTTATTTGTAATATTGAAAGATGTACAGGACAATCTGAATATCTGTTAACATAACAATTTCCTTTGCCCCTTGGGCTTGTGATGCTACGCGTACATAGCTTTAACGCTGTGAGAGAAGTTTCTTTGCTTAGGGAGATTAATAATTTTCTTATCTGGAAATAGGCTGAAAGACAACATTAGAAAGATTAAGCAGAGCATCTTAAACCAAATCTTGAAGACATTACTTTCAATTCAGTTAAGAAACTTAGATGAAAGATGCATAAGGTAGTCCTCTTACGAGCAGCGAGCCCTCAAGTGTTCTTGAAAAAACAGAAAGAAACTCAGCAGTTGGAATGTTGTAAAGCAGTAGTTCCTTGCTTAAACTGCTTCAAACTTCTATACTTCATTTCCTCGTGAGCAGTCCTTCTGAGGTTGATGAAGTTCATGTTTTCTGCTGATTCAGCTACCTTTCTCTCTAAAGTAGTCCGCTATAATAACACAAGGAAATAAACAAAAAAAAAATCAATGACGATAAAAATCATACACAGAATTGCTGTGATGGAGATGCTTTTTTTCAAGTTCAAATTCACCTCAGACTATACTGTACTTGAAAGAAGACCGCTGTATTTCTAGCTGAAAATTAAAAATACTAATACCTATATTCATGAGGTATTATCTGTTTTAAAGAATAAACACTGAGCACTTTAAATCATGTTTAGAAATCTCTCATAACACACGAAGAAAAGCGACTTTGTTTTCTTTTTGAAAAAAAATCATCCAGAACAGCAAGAATAAACCCCTGAAAATACACATTGTCAAAACCGCTGGAAATCTGGCCCTGGAAACACTTAGACTTTGCTCAGGAACAGTGGCCAGTTACGGACAATGTGACTATTTGCAAGACCAAATAACTTGTGTGCAAATTGTTACAGGATTTTGCAAGTGTTGGCATTTTTTGCAATCTCCCACCTTTACACTTTCTGCCTTCCTCCCGTGGCAGCGAAGAAGCTATTATCAACTGTGATATGGTTCCTGAATTTATTACTGAGCCAGCCGGACAGACTTGAGGCTAAATAACACAATGGCACCCTTTGGATTTGCTCGAGCTCCATTTGCAGTACTGCAGGAAAGGAGTAGGATAGAGCTAGTCTGACGTTAGCTTAAAATACAAGGCCCAATTCGTAGATTTAGTGAGTCTCATTAATGCTGCTGGAGATGGAAACAATCCCTGGAAAACACTCCATGCCATTCTGGTTTGGTAGTATTTCATGCCCGTTTTGACCCAGTGATTAAAAACTCCTACTGATGCTCTCAGTAGACTTAACCCAGTGGACGTCCTTGAGGTCGCTGCTTGAAGCTGTTTGTCCTTACCTTATGCCAAACGTTACCAGGATGGGAACTCTCTCTTGTTCCTCAGTTCATAGCCCAGCACATAAGTGTCCCCCCAGATTAATATAATTTGAAGTTACTGTTCTGGCCATACACGTCAGTGACAAAGACCTATAATACCTAATCTGTAACAGATCCATCACAGCTGCTACATATGACAGGGATGAGGCAGAATCATGTCTGGAGCGCAAGAAAATCGAGGCTCTCTAGGCAGTGCAGTGCTGGTACAATGGTTTTGTGCTCAACCTGCTATGAGACACTGAGAAAAACAATGCCCAAGAACAATAGAAAGCAGGACATAACATAAAGCAGCCTGAGGTTGCTCTGATAGTTGAGGCTGAAATGAACATAGGAAAGATCAAAAAACCACAGGCAATCCACTTCCCTGTTCTCCTGGCCTGTTTGCAGTCAGATGCATTTTAGTTAAAGTGCAGGGGCTGTGAAGTGTGAAGAAGTGGAGAGGCTGCAGTGGAGGCCAGTCTCTGCCAGCCTGGCGCCAAGCACAGACCCACCAGCCAAGAACCAGGCTTCTGAGGGTCCAGCAGGCAAGTTTGTTTTAAAACCTGCATTATAGCCTCTAAAAATCCTGTTCTTGATCATAGCTTTTTGAATTGTAAAAGCCTTTTGAAAAAGGTCTGATGAAAAATTTGTTACTGAGAGTCTTATAGCTCATTCCAGACAAAACAGCTTATGCCCCAAAACACAAATTCATTCCACTTACTTTTAGGCACCTAAATGAGGAACAAAAGGTAGGAGCACAGTGGGCCTACAATTTCATTCCTTTTCAAGTCAAAGGAGATGGGCATATCCATAGATTAAGTTGAATGTTATTGCTCTACAAAGTATTCCTTAGAAATACCCTTGAAATTCCTTACAGTTACCCCTATGGTGAAAATCAAGGCTATTCTGGGAATCTGCTCTTGTGCATTTTATCCATTTGGATGATGTGATAAAATGATTGTATCCTTGACACGGAGTCAGCCATATATTACATCAGTAAGATGTGTAACTGTTATTTATCTCCCAGACCAAGGACAATGAAGAGGGGTAAATCCTTGCCAGCACCTCACACAAAGGGAAAGCTACATTTGGGATGCAGTCAGGATTCTGCAGCTGGTCTGCGAAGGGCTGGGTTTTGCAGTATTCCCGGATGGGGAACAAAGAGATGTTAATACTAGGTCTTCAAAAAACTGAGCCCAAGAGAGAGGAACTTAAGAGGACTCACACAAAGGAAACTTGAGCGGGAGAGGGAAGGAAATGGGCATTTTTGTTAGAGAATGCTTTGTTACTGTGAGACAAGGAAACGACCTTGATGATGTCTCAAGATTCACATGTAGGAAAAGAGACTCCAGCTTTCTTCTAGAGACCAGACTTTCTAGAGAAAGTTTGAAACCCTTAGAGAGCTCATGTGTCATTGAGGAAGTGGACTGTGAAGCAGAGTATCAAAGCTGATGCTCTACAAAACTGTGCTCAAGACCTCAGCATTAGGCGTACGAGGTCAAGAAAATGTGACTGTCAGGTACCATTTTGTTGAAGGGTAACTAACAGAAAACGTGTGCCAGAACAGCCAAGGAAAGAGAAGTTCTGCACCCTGTTCATACCCACAGAGGCTTTGGGCACACGTACCTAGCACAGTGGGATGAGATGTCAGGAGAGGGTTTAGCCGTTACCTAGCACAGTGGGATGAGATGTCAGGAGAGGGTTTAGCCATGGAGCAGTAATCCGTGCCTGTATTCAGTTTCCCAGATTTTCAGGATCTGGTAGTTCATCAGATTAATTTTTGAAGCTGTTTGCAAGGGTGGAGCTAATCAGTGAGACGCCAGCATGCAGGCACACAGATACAGGCATTTCTCTTACCTAGTTTCTCCACAGCTTCCACGCACACACTGGGATACATGCCCACTCTGTAAGTAGCAATCAGGATGAAAGTTTTTGTCTTCACAACTATCAGGCCTCCATCTGGCTAGGTAAGATAGAAAATTGGTATAAGGTTACAGGGTCCTAAAAAAATACAGAGGTATACATACTGCCTTACAATTTGGGCCAATTACAGGCATTTTCTTTGCCAATCTACTTGTCTTCTTGGGGAAAAAAAGGCAAATACTGTCTCAAAGTCTAAGCCAGGACACAGACAAACAGTGGCAGTGCATGTTCTGAAGACTGCTGACTATAAAAGCAAGTCAGTCAAATGCTTTATTAGATTGCTTGTTCTCACTTCCATTGATGAATGTATTATTGCACAGCATTTTGAAGGAGTGTTATCCTAGTGCCCAATGTCATATGTAAGAGCACTGATAAATGCAAATAAAACAACCAGTATTTACATGAAAGCATGCCCAGTGTTTTATGAACCCTGCCTCCCAAACTCTGCCTCACTCATTTGTAGTAAGGATGGGAAAAGGCATTGCAAAGTCCTGCATTTTTCTGAAACGGGATCCAAATTTAAGAGCTGCTCAGCCTGTTCTGCAAGGTGCTTAGCTCATTTCGGGATGGATTTACTGGGCAGGGGAAGAATTAAGAAGACCCCAGTAACAATCAGTTGGATCAGTTGGATGTATTTACTTCAGATTGTGTGACTCGGCAGTAGTAACAAAATTCTGCCATCCTGCGAATGGCTGCATGTAGCTGTGTCCCGAGTTTCTGTTTCTGAATTTCATAGGTGAATTACTGAGTCTGGAGTCCCGCGAGGTGAGTAAGCTGTCAAACAAGGTCCTGCTCACCCGTGTCTCTTCTCTCCCCCAACCTGCTACCTTATTCTGGCCTGTGGGCTTGCCAGGCCCCCCTATTACCTGATTAATTCACTAATGCGGCAAGAAACCAACCCAGCAAACAAATGAAGTGACAGTTTTTTGCCACGTTAGGGAGATTAACTGATTCAAAGGAGAACGTGACAAGCCCTGCAGCTGGTGTTAGGGAAATGGATGGTGTCACCCATTAAATTTGTATTATACAGCTGACACTTTTTTGTATTCTGCACCGATTTCATTCCACACCTGCTGGGGAGGTGATATGGAGAGAAAGAAAGAAAGAAAGAAAGAAAGAAAGAAGCATGTGAAGGCTTTCTGCTTGTGTTACAGTATTCCTGTAACCATGCAGTGAGGGAAGGAAGTAGGAAGTCTCCAGATTTCTCAGGATAGCCACAGCTCTCGTCAACGTACATTTTGAAGGTAGATGGAATGCTCATCTGCACGGACACATTTATAGTGCTTCTCCTTGAAGTAGAGTCCTCCCCTTCTAACTTGCACTAAGTTCTTGTGGAAAGTGTAGATAAGGTTTAAAGCATTCTCTGGTGGCACCTGTGTTAGTACAACACAGTGTTATGGACCAAAAATGCACCTCATTGCAATGATGAACTGCTTTCCACCCTCCCACTGTCTTTGATAGTTCACTTAAAATTATGATGTATAAAAAAAAAATAAAATCTGCCTGGCTTTGAATTGTGACTGGCTTTGGCAGTCACAATCTGCTCAGTCTATGACTACTACCTGTGCAGTCCCATTACTCAGTGACACTACTCTAGGTAGGCAAGGCGCCCCATGGCAACTGGACCCTTCTGTTGAAAGGCAATATAAGGTAGGATGCAGCCTTCCTCGGGCCTGCGCAGAGCTCACCCAAGGATGCCAATTCCAAATATTCTTAGTCTTCAGTGGGGAAGTGTAACTTTTAGCAAGTCCAGACCAGATCATCACTTGCAGATGACACCAAGTTGAGTGGTGTGGTCGACATGCCAGAGGGACAGGATGCCATCCAGAGGGACCTGGACAAGCTCAAGAAGTGGGCCCGTGTGAACCTCATGAGGTTTAACAAGGCCAAGTACAAGGTCCTGCACCTGGGTTGGGGCAACCCCCAGTATCAACACAGGCTGGGGGATGAAGGGATGGAGAGCAGCCCTGCCCAGAAGGACTTGGGGGTCCTGGTGGATGAAAAGCTGGACATGAGCCAGCAATGTGCGCTCGCAGCCCAGAAGGCCAATCGGATCCTGGGCTGCATCCAAAGCAGCGTGGCCAGCAGGTCGAGGGAGGCGATTCTGCCCCTCTGCTCTGCTCTGCTGAGACCCCACCTGCAGCACTGCGTCCAGCTCTGGAGCCCTCAGCATAAGAAAGACACGGACCTGTTGGAGCGGGTCCAGAGGAGGGCCATGAAAATGATCAGGGGGATGGAACACCTCTCCT